ATCTCTTGAGTCACAAAACTTCAGATATATTTTCCTTGTTTATCCTACATATAGAATTGAAATGGCTGAGTTCTCTGGTTATTTTGATAAAGTTAACTAGTACCAGAAATAGCCATTTTCAAGAAGTGGACATATGGAGGAATACATACTCTTTAGGTATATGGGTTACACCATTTTAAGTGAACACTAGAGTGCTTACAAACTGTATTGAAACAGTATAACACTGTGACAGGTTTATCTCACTAAAGAAACATTACCGGCCGGTGCCGTGGCTCAATAGGCTAATCCTCTGCCTGCGACGCCGGCACACAGGGTTCTAGTCCCAGTTGGGGTGCTGGATTCTGTCCCGGTTGCTCCTCTTCCAGTCCAGCCCTCTGCTGTGCCCCGGGAGTACAGTGGAGGATGGCCCAAGTGCTTGAGCCCTGCATCCACATGGGAGACCAGGAGAAGCACCTGGCTCCTGGCTTCAGATCAGCGTGGTGCACCGGCTGCAGGGGCCATTGGGGTGTGAATCAATGGAAAAGGAAGACCTTTCTCTCTCTCTCTCTCTCTCTCTCTCTTTTTTTTTTGACAGAGTGGACAGAGAGAGAGAGAGAAAGAAAAGAAAGACAGAAACATTACCTTGCAAAAAATTAAAGACACAGAATTCCAGGATTATGGTTTTAAAAGGTCTTAAAATCAATGGTATAGCAGTTTTGAAATAATTTTCAGAATCAAAATTCTTTTGTAAATGAACAAAGAACCTCATGAAACTTACATCTATAAATCGGGTGAAGTAAACTATTCTGATTAAAGCAGGAGAAATGGTGGCAGAAGTCCAGAGCCCACTCACCTCGATTATCCTTCCATACCCCAGCCCTCATGGTATATTGAACCTGAATCTCCTTTTACAACATTCAGCTTCAGCAGAATAAAGAGTGAAAACAAACCATACACAGCCTCTCCTGAGTGGCAGCAGAGACAGCAAGCTGCCCAAATGTCCATTTGGGGACAGAATCACTCCCAAGAGAACAGCAAAGAAGGTGAAGTGCACAGCAAACATGGTGCTCCTCAGACTGTTAGCCTCAAAACTACTTCTGAGCAAATACGCTCTGTGGTCCTGGGAGCAATTCCCAATAGAAACCCCAAAAGGCTGATGTGCTGATTAACCACTGGATCCTGTATGGTCACTGGAAATTGTCCCTTATCCAAGCTGGCTGGACGCTTTCTGGCCTAGGCTTACAGCAATTTTCTTTGTTTTCCTTTGAGTCCTTTCCTTTTCTATTTTTTTTAACCAAGCAGTCAAAGGCAGAATTCTCCCAGGGTCTGTTGTATCATTCTTCCTTTTGGAAAAGAAAGAAAGAGGAGAGAGAGGAGAAGAAGGTGGGGAGAGGGGGGAAGGGGAAGAAAGAAAAAAAAGCATGGCTTTGCTTGAAAAGTATCCTCAAGCTTCTGGTAAGCTACAAGTGTCAGCAATCCTCATTTCTCCAGGAACAGTCAGAGGTGACCCTCGTGGAGGCCAAGGGCAGGGGGAGCTGGGGGCCCCCGGCAGTGCCAGTGCTGCCTGCCGGGTATGCTGTGCACTGCAATGGAGGGGGCACACCTGCCTTCAGCAGACTCCATTATCTGGATAGGGGTGATGACTGAAAAGGAAAGAGGGAGAGTATCCTGGCCGAATGAGGAGGTGAGGGAGAGCATGATGGGTAGTTAGAGGAAAGAGGTGGAGTCACCATCTCTCTTGTGTGAGCACTTCCAAGAGTTCATGGCAAAGTGAAATTAAAAGCTTAGTTTATTCTGGTGCAGGAGATTTTGAAATCCAGATATACTTTCCCTTTTTAATAGTACAGGTTCCCATGAACTTGATGAAGACCCATAGTGCATGGGGGTGCCATGTGGCTTCAGTTTCCATTCTTTCCTACCATGAGACTTTCCCAAGGCCTTTTCCCAAGTCTGCAGTATTGGCCACCGGATGCAGAATGCTTGGAAGCTCAGATTTGCCTGCAATGCCTCAAGATTGACTAATGACATACAGATTTTATCTGTTGGACTTGGAGCAGGATCCGGAGTTGCAACAGCTTGCTTTGCTGCAAGAATCCTTCTGAAGGCACTTACTGTCTGCTCACTGACTTTGTGCTGCTGGGAATGGGGGTGGCAGACATCACCAAGGACTTGGAAATTATCAGATTCTGTGTTTTGCTCTTGCTTCTTAACAGCAGTTGCCAGAGCCCCTGAAGCATTCTGGGAATTAGTGTTTCTGTAGTATCTTTCAGATGGCTTAGGGGCAACAGGTAGCTGACACCAACTGTGTTTTGCCAGAAAAGTCCAAAAGATGATGGCTGCTGTTGTCAATTATTGGAATTTCAACAGGACTGTATTTTTATTTCTAAGTATATTTGCATGGCTAGCAAGCATCTGCTGACAAGGATGAGATGATAAGCTGTATTGGTGCCAAAACAGGACTGGAAAAACAGGCTTGCTCTGAGAATGGCTTGCATCCTGAGAGGCCATGCTAAGAAAATTTTCTCTCCACAGGCAATATCTTCCTCTCAAACATGAACACTTGAAAGGAATCCCTGTCTCTTAACATAGGCATGCACTCAATGGGTTCCCAATAAATGCATACTGGATGAAGGAACACACATGTGTGTGCGCACTGAAGGGGATGGGGAATTGGCAGCCCAAGAGAAAGCTTGATTTGCTGGAGGCTGAGTGCCAAGTCGTTTACCTCTGTTGGAAAGGCTGGTCGTTGGGACTGCTGTAGTTCCAGCACACTGTGTTGTAACACTGAGCACACAGTAAAACGCACAGTGTCTCCTTCCCAGGGAGGAACATCTGAGCCCTTTGATCCTCCATTCTTTGGTTTCCTTGAACAAGAAAGGACTCTCTGTGAATGAGGCCAGCGTCCTGGAAGGTAACCAAGAAGGAAATTGGTAGAAAGTACATCATCCAATTGGACTAATTCAGCTCTGTGGCCTGAGTGGGTTGGGTTCCTGGGGAATCCAGCCAGTGGCAGGACCTCTGGAAGATGTGAGACTGAGATGTGAATGATGACACAGAGGACCTGGAGAGGCAGAGCCAATGGGGACTCAGCTGGGGCTGACCCAGACTCCAGCCTGCTTTCTTTCCCCCTGCCACCTGCTTTCTCCAAGCCAACCCCATGACCACAGGATGTCTGTCTTTCTGATGGACACATTCTTCCCTCTTAAAAGCCCACATGAAATATAATGAAGCCATCTAGCAATTCCTTTCTTATCCCCTGCCTGTCTACTACATACTCATTCTGAGCTTTCAATCAAAGCAAAAGCTACAGGACTTTGCCCTTTGTCTTGTAAACCAAGATTCTAGCCATTTTGTTTGTGTTGTTGTTGTTCGGTTTGGTTTAAACCTTAGCTATTTTCCATTCTGTGCAATGACAGCCCTGTTTACTGTAAGTTCTGCTGTGTAGGTGTTCTCCTCATTTCCAGCCTCCAGGATGCTAAGTGAGCAGTACCTCCACTCCACATGACCAGTGTAAAGTCAGGGGTCCATAGCCTTGGGAGGCCTTTCACATGAAGGGGCTGAAGCGGATGGGGTGGAAGAGGAGAAGAAATATATGAATGAGATGGTCAGTGAGTAGAATAGAAGACCAAAAATATGTTGCTAAACACACAGCATCTGGCTGGAAAACATGCGCCATCTGTCCCTGCCAGGCAGTGTGGTCAAGCAGGCTGAAGCTTATTTCTGGAGAGTTCACTTAAGAGAAGAATCTATCATTGTGACCCAAGGTCTGCTCCATTCTCCCATCCTCTTGTCAACCTGTCAATCACCCTCCTCGTCCTTGGGCTGAGCTCATAACTTACTAAAATAGGATTCTTTCCATTAACAAATGATATAAACCTAAGTTACATTATTTGAGCAAAAAGGGAATTTGTTGATTCATATGTTAGGAAGGATACTATGAAAGGACCCAGGTCAAATGATAATTATAAAAAGTAGGACCTTGTGATTGCAACTGGATATTGCTCTCTCTTTCCCCCCTTCCATCCCTCTCCCTCACTCTGCCTTTTTCTGTCCCCGATCCTTGCCCCTCCCACTTTCCCTCTCCCCATCCCTCCTCCGACAAACCACCCCTGCTGTTCTATTCCTTTCTGCAGACAGGAGTTCCATGTGTTGAGAAGAAGGTTGTTCACAGCCATGTACAGTTGTCTGATTCTCCCAGCTTAGCAACCCTAGAGGAGAGAATTCTGCCTTACAACCTGTGTATTCAACGCAGAGTGGTCCTGAGACCTATTAGCTTGAGACTAATGGGGTCTAGAAGCCTGGAGTGCCATGATGGTCTTGACTTTGGTTCTGAGTCTACTGTGGCCTAGAAAGCAGAAGAAAAACAAGAGAGAAAACTTGCAACTTGCATGGCAGTGGAAATTGTTGTTCCAAGGTCCCTATACCCACCGTTGTCACAAACCTTTCAGTGGAGGCTGACAAATGCCCCAGCCTTCACTGGGAACAGAGAAACAAGTTCTTGGAAACTTTCCTTTCAGGTGGCCAATCCCTCATCCCTTCCTCTGTGAATCTCACCAGGAGCTTCAGCTGCCCCTAGTGTTATTAGCAGATAGGGAGTCAGCAGACTGTGTCCAGTCTGAGCTCGGGGACTGTTGTCCAAGCTACCCTCATGGATTAAGGCATCTCCATGGAAAAGGGACAATAATGGCTCCCTCTCAGGACTGTCAGTGTTAAATGCACAGCGTGGGTTGGTATCTGTCTGAGAAGGCATGGTCAGCCTCTCTATTATGGCCCCCAAGGCCCTGTCCTTTTGCAGGAACTTGGGCACATGCATAGGAGGCCACATTGGTTCTGGGTGCTCTCAGACATGTGCATTCATTAGGAGTTACACATGGTCATTTGGGTTCATCTGGGTCCTAAACACCCCCATGGTTTTCCTACTCTGCAAATATGGATCCTGGTTGATGACTATGTCCCATGGACAATCCCAGTCTCCTAGACCTCATCTCTGAGAGTCTTTCTCTTTCTCTCTGCACATTCAGGAGTGTACACATTTCTGTCCAGCACCCTCAAATCTCTGGAAGAGAAGGACCATATCCATCGTGTCCTGGACAAGATCACAGACACCTTGATCCACCTGATGGCCAAGGCGGGTCTGACTCTGCAACAGCAACACCGGCGCCTGGCCCAGCTCCTCCTCATCCTCTCCCACATCCGCCACATGAGGTGAGGTGTCCAGGAGTTCCTGGGGGAGACATAAAGGAAGCTTGCACTAAACTATAGGGTTTATGCCTGGATATGCAGAGTGCCCTTGGAATAGTTCCTGGTATATAGTAAGTGTAAATGCTACAGGAGGACAGAAGAGGGTGGCATTAAGAGTGTAGGACAAGAGTGGTTATAAATGGTATTGTCACTCTAACTGAAGCACATGCAGGGTCTTAGAGTGTGGGTGCCTAGGGGGCTCTGTAAGCCTACTCGGCAGGCATGGGGTACATCCATCACTGCTCCCATCTCATTTTCTCCCTTCTTACCCTAGCAATTAAGGGGCTCTCAGACCAGATGCCTCTAGGAGATTCAATGCAGACTCCCCCATACCTCTCAAACCCCTTGTCACCCCATTGCCATCACCTTGTTCCAAGTCACTATCATTTCCTGTTGGATTTCTGTGCCAGCTACCTATCATGTCTCTCTGCCTTCATTCCTGGTTATTTCTAACATGTTCTCCATGATGTAGCTGGAATGATCATTCTAAGGCCAAATCTAATCATGCTGTCCTCTTGCCTAAAACCATAAGTAGTTTCTTGTTGCTTTGAGATAAAAGATAAATCCCTTTGTTTTGTATGTATACCATATTCCTTGTGATCTAGCCCTTGCTTAATGTACTGAGACCTCCTTGTGAGGCTTTACTGTAGGCTGCAGCCTAGCTTGGCAGCCCTGTGTATCACGGCTGGGCTCATCCATACATCAGAGGGGTAGAGATAGGAGACTCTAAACCACAGCTCTGCAGGTTGGAGAGGCGAGCCTATGCCCTAAGTTTCAGGCCTTTCGCCTCCTGGTACATGGAGGTTGACTTGAATATGTTCTCTTAGTGATGGTCAAGGTATGAAAAAGCACACATTTGGGCAAGTGTATTTGAACCCTTTGGTTAAATCACGTCTACTAACACTCCACTGGTCAAGCAAATGACATGTCAGAACCTATAGTTAAGGATCATGAACATACGGCAGATGGAGTGATTTTTGAGCTGTCATCAATTTATTGCTTAGATATCACTTCTTGTAGAAATCATCCCCTGACCCTTTTGACATACTGCGAATTACACCCTCTTTTACCCTCTTGCAACTGCCCCTTTTCTTTTTGTCCATAGAACAGTAAGCTCTGTGAGGCAATCATCATAATCTGTCTTGCATACTCTGTGTTCCCAATATCACCTAATGCAGTGCTAGGCAAAAGACTCAGTAAGTAATTTCTATAGGAATCAAGTAGAGACACCAGCAGAGGAAATAGTCTTTCTGTGTCAAATGCTGAAATTAGAGTCATTTCCGCAGATTCCAGAAAGACCACAGCAATGGCATGAAGTAGTGACACATACTAGAGGAACAGGTAGTCATGGGTGATGCAGCCCACGTGACCTTGGTCTCATGCTGGGACCCAAGCAGTGGAAAAAAAGCATCTGTCTCTTAATCCAAACACCTTTTGAGCATTTTAGTCCTTCATTAATTTTTAAGGAGCATTCAAGCCGAGACTGTGGCTCAAGAAGGTGCCAACCTTTTCCAGGGACAGTCTTGCAGAATCATTTCTTCTGATAATAGATGTTCTACATGTAGTGTGTGCTCCTAATATCATCACTGAGCAAATCAAAGAATGGATGAGTGAACAGACGAACGACTCATGGCAGGTTTTTCTCTGCCCTGTAAATTTGGAATTTGAAGGATTGCACTTGGCAAAGAAACGATCAGTCTCTCTTCTTAGGACTCCCCAAGAATCCCTACATAGCAGATGAAGGACTCCCATTTGCCAGGCAGAGTAAGAGCCTGCATTCAGAGTAAAAATTTCCCTACATTGCTGCTTGTTTCTTTTCATGACTAGCTCAGGGATGGAAGCAGGAAAAGGATCAGAATGAGGTATCTGCCATGTCACTTGTGTGTAAAAGTAATCTATCCCTGGAAAAAACATTGCCTTGTACTCTGAGCTAGCAATTTCGATGATGTTGTAGAAACTGTAGTCATAAGGAAATGTTGTTTGTTGACAGGAATGACTGACTTTTCACATCCATTTACTGTTTGTCAGCACTAGCAAGCCTAATTAGTTAATACTACATATATTTTCACTATTCAGCCCTGGCTGGTTTTGCTAGCAATGTTTGGCAGAGGGCAGCAGTGATGAGAGTTCTGTAGAGCTTCTTCTGGAATTGTGTGAAAAGCTGGAGAGATGTTGCTAGTCTATTGAAGCTCTGAGCTTCCTTTTCTCTCTCCTTCCCTCCCTCTCACACACACATACAGACACAATGATGTTTTGGTGCCTCACTGCAGTCAATCTCAATCACAGAACTGTTTTGTTAAGCTTTGCCTCAGCCATATGTTGCTACTCAGAAAATTTAATAGTGGGTTTCATCTAATTGTAAATGTGATTCATTTGGTTGAATGAGGAAGCCAGTGGCAGATCCAGGGGGCATTTAACTTTAACATTTTAGATTAAAAAGCAAAACAAAAACAAAGAAACACCTAACTCAGGTTGTGTTGTTGGCCTGGGTTGCTCTGATGCTGTGTTTCCAGGCTGTGTCTCCAAATAGTGCCGACTTTTCCCCTCCTAATAATGCAGACATTTTCTAGGACATTCTCTAGGCCCTACCTACTCATGAGGCATAAATCTTTATGAAAAAATTTCTACCTAGATAGTGGTTGTTCTTCCCACCCCACCCTTTCCCTTTGGTGGTGTGGAGGGGACAGTGTTCTCTGGTAGAGAAGGCAAGGAAGAAGTTATTTGCCTATATTCCCCTCTACCCACTTATCCCCAGTTTTCTGAGCCTTTAACCAAAGTGATGGACAAATCCCTGTCCTCCTGGAGGTTGCAGTGTGAGTTCATGTGTGTGTGTGTTTGGGGCAGAGAGAAGAAACACAAATACAGGCATACTACAAGAAGTTCGTGGAGAATAGAATCAAAAGATAAGTTTGGTATAATTTTTTTTTCAGAATGTGTTTTCCATGAACTTCTTGAAGACCCCTTGTAGAAAGAAGAATTTTAGTTTGTGACAAATATGATATAGAAAATGGAATAATATGGAATAGAATGGCTGAGGCTGCTATAGGGCTTGAGGCAGTGGCCACAGATGTATTAGAAGGCTTCTCAGAGTGGGTGGAGCTTCATTCCTCCAAGGGGCAGGACAAGCTCTATGAGGAGGGAGGCTCCTAAAGAGGGATAAACAAGGGAGTCTTGTGAACTGCATCCCACATTGCAAACCTCACTGTACCCCCTGTTCTTCTTCTCTGTCTTGGGGATAGAGGTGATTTTCACTTGAGTTCACCTGTGTAGCAAAGACCTTGAAAGGGAATGGAGGGAGGGTTTTGGAGGGTGGGACTATCTTTGTAGGAGGTGGGAGATAAACATTGTGCACAAATGAGTCCAAGCCACCTGCCCCAAACAGATTGGCTTTGGAGTCTCTTTGTGGTTCTTCTTACTCTTCCTTGCTAAGGATTTAAGTCTAATGTGGTCCTTTTTGTGTCCTCCCCCTGTAGTAACAAAGGCATGGAACATCTGTACAATATGAAGTGCAAGAACGTGGTGCCCCTGTATGACCTGTTGCTGGAGATGCTGGATGCCCACCGCCTGCATGCTCCAGCCAACCGTGGGGGTGTGCCCATGGAGGAGCCCGCCCAGGGCCAGCTGACTACCACCAGCGCTGCTTCAGCACATTCCTTGCAAACCTATTATATCCCTGGAGAGGCTGAGGATTTCCCCAGCACAATCTAAGAGCTCCCCAGCTCCCCCAAGGTTCTGTGAATCCCTGCAGCATTTCACCCAAGCCATGCATCACTGTAGCCAAATCCTGTCTCCTGCATACACTCTGGCATGCATCCATCACCAGTGGCTTTCTAATATGAGTGGCCATTCATTTGCTTGCTCAGTTCTTAGTGACACGTCTTCTGTTGGGAACAGCCACAGGGATTCCAGGGCTAAATCTTGGTAACAGCTCTTTTTCTCCCCATTGCTCCATGACTAAGCATGAGGATTCCTGTAGCTCTTGATGATGGAACTCAGCCTATGGGATGACTATGTGCATTGAATCTATTTGTTGAGCCAGGCCTGGGGAGTAGCTATTTCACCTCTGAAAAAGCACTTTGTAATAGCCTCAGGAAAGAATTCAAAGTGGCTCCTTTCATTGCTGACTTGGAGAAAGCTAGCACAAGAGTTAGTTCTAGCATCCTCTTGTATTCCTATAGTCATGCATCATTTTATGAAAGTGATGATACCTGTTGCTCCATTGCATGGCTGTAGCACAATGTTTGGTGATTATCGATCCATTTCACCTATAGGAATACAAGATACACAAAGGAAAGGAAGAACCCCTTTCAAGACGACAGCACCTTAGTACACTGCACCTTCAGGCTTGAAGCACTACTGCTGGCATTCCAGGGCACCATGTACAGGTCCTGGGTTCCCATTCATTCTTGCTGCCCACAGACCTATGAAAAACAAAAAGTGGATCTAAGTAAAGTAACCTCCACATATATCAATATCCCTATATGAGGGGTGAGCTCCAGTTTTCATTGTCCCTATTTTCATTTTGTAGGAGAAAACCTCCTTCCAGGTCTTGGAGTAAAGTCAACTTCAGGACCAGCTGTGGTCGGGAGAGAGGGGAGAATCTCAAATTTACCAGCAGAGGGCACTCTACTTGGCTCTTCCCAGTGTGGGACACTGAAGGTGAATTATTAGTGCCAATGAACCACCCCAGGCAATTTCAATGAGCCAGCACCAGCACTCTGGTGATTTTTTTTTTAAAGCCCTGGGATACGGGGATTTAAGTAAATGCGTGTGATTTTTGTGGCTGCTAGAGAACGAGAAGGGAAATCGAGTCAGATCTGCATGAAACTGTGAGGTGGGAGGAGCTTTTGCTCAGGGTGGCCCTGCTGCAGGAGGAAGCTCCCCATAGCCCTGCACCGCACAGCTGGACTGCGCTGGGTGGTCCGCCCTTTCTTCCCTGCCCACCATGGCCTGGATACAAAGAGGTGCAGGGGACAGCTGCATTCCTCCATCTCATCCTGCACACCCAGGCAGGGGAAGAGTGTTGGAATCAGCCCACTCACTGCTCAGGCTGCTGGGCACCTGGTCAGACCACACATGCCTTTGGTGGTTTAGGGCTCACCAAAAATCAGGGTTTGGCTCCACCCCCCTAATTCCCCACCCCCCCCAAACCATGCCCTTAAACTTCCTAAGCCAGGAGAACCAGAAAACCAGAATTGGGCCACAGGAATCCTTTGGCCCCTGAAAACAAATGGCTCATCCCACACATAGGGCCTCCCTTGTGTCTTGGCTTCCCTAGTACAATTATGAATTATTCTTTTTTTAATTAACTAAAAAGGGTTTTTTTTCCCTCCAGCAACTTCACTGCTTAGAATTCAAACCCTATTGAGAGGTGAGCTGCTAGGTTTCCCTTGGTGTGTTCTGCTTGGATAAGTGGGTTGCCCTATTTTCTGGTTGCCCAGTTAAGTGAGCACCAAAGAACTAGGAGACTGGGAGGGCCAAAAACCTTTTTTTTCCTATATGTGCATCTAAATTTGGGGACAATTTTATGTATCTGCGTTAAGAATAAGTTTAAGAACGTGACTCTTTTGTTTATCAAAGAAGCACCTTATATAGTATAATATATATTTTTTTGAAATTGCATTGTTTGTTTATTGGACAATTGAATGTAATAATTATGTTCTGGATTTAATTTGACTGACTGGGTTAACATGTGAAAACCAAGGGGGAAATCTTTAGTTTTTTTGTATACTTTTCAAGCTACCTTGTCATGTATGCAGTCATGGATGCCTAAACCTTGTGATTTATTCATTTAAATGAAGATCACATTTCATATCAACTTTTGTATCCACAGTAGACAAAATAGCACTAATCCAGATGCCTATTGTTGGATATTGAATGCTAGACAATCTTATGTAGCAGAGATTATGCCTGAAAAGGAAAATTATTCAGGGCAGCTAATTTTGCTTCTACCAAAATATCAGTAGTAATATTTTTGGACAGTAGCTAATGGGTCAGTGGGTTCTTTTTAATGTTTATACTTAGATTTTTCTTTTAAAAAAATAAAAAGACAACAAAAAAACTTTAGAACTATAGATGATGTAATACCAGCTAAATCCAAACAATAATACAGTGGAGGGTTTTACATTATTCATCTAATGTACTTGTATTCATGTTAAGAAACTACTACATTTGCAATGGGCAGAGAACATCAGATGGTTGAAATATTAGCCCAAGAGTCTCAGTGTTTTAGAAATCTGTTTTGCTTTTTATTTGAAGTGTCACTAATGGGCAGCTGACTTTTTCCAGCTGATGTTGCGGTGGGGTAGAGGGGCCCTGCTGGAGAAATTTGTGCTTTTCCCTCACTCTGAGGTCATTTGCAATTTGAAAGGCATGATATACCCAGGAGGTTGGGGTAGGGTGGAAAAATGGGCTAGGGAATTTGGAGAATGGGAAATATGGTGATCAAAATATTGAAAGTATTTTGAGGCAGATCATTTCTGGTACCTGGATTGTGTACCCGTTTTTGGTATTCAACTTCTGCACAATTATCCAAAACTAAGGACTCCACTGACAGCCGTTCCCCAAAAGCCAACATCAATCATGGGGAAGAAGCAAGGGCCTCAGCTGTGAGTCCAAGGAACAGCTAATGGTCCATGTTTTTCTTAGCCATTGCCTAGCCTACTTGCAGTGATTTTGTAGTTACCATGTAGCAGTAGGAGATACAAACTCATCCAGAGAGAAAACCCCATTGAACTGGACTGCAACACCCAGCCCCTAAGCAAATGCAGCCTTTGTTTAGATTTCCTGAATTTAGCCAAGGCATTTCCGATGCCTTTTCGGGGGCTGAACAAGACTATTTACTTTTAATCACACTGAAGTATCCTCACACTGAATCTTCTACATTAAAAAAGCCAATGAGTTAGGCTGTTGGTTTAGAGTACCTCTATCCCTACTTAGAACCAGTTACAAACCTCTTATCATACTTTCCAACTCTGAGATGGACTCTGGACACTGGGAATGATTTCATGACAGTGGTAATGTCCAATAGTCACAGGTGTATTGGCTTGGAGAACCCAATCATTTTAAAGACAGAGTCAGACAGTAGCTCCCAAGGCAACCATGATTCTCTTTGGGGAATGTCTTGGGTGGTTGATCCAGATAATAACATACACTTCCCAGGTTAACCCCTGAACTTTACTCATTCTCAACTGCAGCAAATGAATTTAACTGTGGTCCCAAATATTCATCTTTTCATTCGTGTGACTATGCTGTTTCCAGCTGCATTGCCTTTCCATGTAAAGACTGTGGCCTCTTTTAAAGTCATTCAAGATTGTTTCGTACGTTATTGCTGCCTCTAGTATGGCACTTCAATTTTGCACTGTCTTTTGGAAACTCAAAAAATTTTTCTATTTTTTTTTGCATCCAAATGTGCCTGAACTTTTAAAATACGTAAATGCTGCCATGTCCCAAAACCATCTTTCGTGTGTGCGTGTACAAAACTGTGCACCCTGAAAACAACATACAGTCCCATGAGCAGGTGCCTCAGACATGGACCCCTTTGCATTCACAGAGAGGTCATTGGTCATACAGACTTGAATTAATAAGTGACATTTTTGCCAGTTTATGTTCTCTCACAACTTATAAACAATGCTTTTTGTGCACTATCTACTCTCCAGTGTAGAGCTCTTGTTTTATGGGAAAAGGCTCAAATGCCAAATTGTGTTTGACAGATTACTATGCCCTTCTACCAATGCATACTACAATGTGATTCTGTTTTGTCGCTGCACTGCTTTGTTTAATGAAATTTACACTTGTAAACCTCTTTTGCACCTTAATAAAAGAATCTAGCTGGAGCACCTGTAAACCATTTTCTCAACTTATTTGATGTTGAAATAAAGAAATAAACTAAAGACAAATGTGTTTTTTTTTTGTAAGCCCCACTTGTTGCTCATTGTTCACTGCTGATTACCTAAAATCAAAACGATTAAAGGATGAGATTGCAGTGAATCTGGACCTCAATTCACCTCCTGCCCCCACCCCATCCCCAAGTACATGTGGTTCCTGACATCAGGCAAACTTGGGCTTGATTTTTTACTCTAGTGCATGCGCTGTCATGATTGACAATTTTTTAGAGCTTCAGCTTCCTTATCAACAAAATAATCATGACATCTAATCCATGGAAGGAAATAGTGTGATACACACACAGCTCTGCAGGTAGCTTATTCTGCTGGGATCCTCATTCTACTAATCGTTATGTAAACTTGGGCAAGTGAATTTACCCATGCCTCAGTTTCTTCACTTGTAAAGTGTGTTCATTTTTCATTTATTTTTTGTTGCTATAACAGAATACCTGAAGCTGGGTAATTCACAAAGAAAATAGGTGTATTTAGCTCACAGTTTTTGGAGGCTCAACCAACAAACAGCAAGGCACAGGAAGAAGTCATAGGGTGGACGGCGTGGTGGCAAAAGTGAATGTGAGAGGGATCACACAGTGAGCCAAAAAGTCTCAGAATGGGCAGTGCCATTCCTGCCCTTTTATAATAGCCTACTCACTCAGGAACTAACTGGAGTCCCATGAGAACTGTGTTATTCCTCCCAAGGGCACTGTTCCAGTGACCTAATCACCTTGCTCTAGGCCTTACCCCCTAGAGTCTCACGGCCTCTTCACATCTCCACACTGATGCGAACCCTTAGGGCATACACCGGAGTCATACCCAAACCAAAGCAAAAAGAGATAATAGAGTCACTTGCCTGGAGCATCACTTTGAAGATGTGGGTCCATCCATGGAGAGCATTTAAGGACAGCAGCTGATACTGCTCCCTTTCCATTGTCCTCTGCAACTGTGCATCTGACCTCATTTCTTTATTAGGATGGGTTTAGAAACTTCACATCATTTGAGCCAACTGGATCCTGAAAACTTTTTTTCTTGTTCTATCATTCCTTCAGCAAATCCTTCAATCCTTTCTTCCTTGGTTTCCTCATTTCTAAAATAGAAATAAGAATGACACCATAGGAGTCCTGTGGACATCAAGAGAAAGATATCTACCAATGCCTGGTATAGGACTAAGGCTCAGTACCTAACTATGAATTATTGCAATTAGTATGACCATCTCTGAGCATGTACATTTAATGGAATTATTGACATGTTTTCATTTACATGTGCCATTTTTTATACATGTCTTTAATTTTTGTTGTTGTTGCTATTCCTCTGTCCTTACTGCTCCCTATTGCTATTGGTGATTTTGTGATATGATAAAGAGAGAAGTGGTTTCTCCACTGGGATGCTGAGAAGGAGATCCTGAAACTCATGTAGATTAGAATGCTAGGAAAATGTTGTGTGTACTATTTGGTCCTTGGCCCTATACCCTGATACAGAGCTCCTTAATCCCTCAGGATATCTTGGTTCATTGGAACATCTTTATTTTTTATTTTTTTCAACTACTTGAAAGGGAGAGAGATAGATAGAAGAGATAGAAGAGATAAAAGAGATAGAAGAGAGAGAGAGATAGATATCTTCCATATTTTCCCCAAATACAACAGCCAGGGATGGACCAGGCCAGGAGCCTAGAACAGCATCTGAGTTTTCCGTACAGGTTGAAGGGGCCCTAATATTTTAGCCATTATCCACTGTCTCCCAGGATGCACTAACAGGAAGTTGGATGGGAAGCAGAGGGACTAGAACCAGGTACTCTGATAGGGGATGTAGGTGTCAAAAAATGGTGGTTTAACCCACTGTGCATCAATGCCCAATCTACACCTTTTGTTTTTATGACAACTGTTGGTGGTGGGCTCCTGGATAGCATCAGGATAGGGGCTGCTTACCAGGGATTCCATCCATGTGATTATAGAGCTAAAACTCTCAACCCCACTCACCAATCTGGGGAGGAGAGAAGCTGAAGATTGATCATCAATGGCCAACGATGTGATCAATCATGTCTACCTAATGAAGCTTCCATAACAGCCTGAGCGGACAAGATTCAGAAAGCTTCTGAAGAGCTGAACACGTGCAGGTACCTGGAAGGTGGTACCTCGAGAAGTCATGGAAGCTCTATGCCTCTTCCCCTTAGCTTGCTGTGTCCATTTCTTCATCTGTCTGTTCATCTGTTTGCTTATCTTCACACAGGTAAGTGTGAGCCCCTGTGACAGCAGCAAAGCTTTCAATCTTTATGACTTTCTCCATCCTGGTGCTAGCTGAACTTGGAGGGTGGAGGATGGAGGCAGTCCCAGGCAAGAATGCCACAGATTCCCACTTGCACTTACATGTTCAACAGTTTTCCAAGCGTAAACATTTCCCAGATGGTTGTCTCTCTTTGATCAATTTGCCAATGGTCAAAATGTGTTTTTATCAGTTTTGTTCAGCTTTACAGTTACTTTTTGGATGGAGAATTTACCAATTTCCTCAGTTGGCCATAGCTAGGTTTCCCCTCTTCACACACTTTCTCTTATTACCCTTCTCAGATGCCAGCATGGCTGTTGACATATGCCGTCTCTCTCTTCCAGTGATCAGTAAGCTTTCTCGAGAGATTGTTGAGCAATCTGTGGGCCTTTTAAATCTCTCCATTGGTGGGAATGCCTGAGGGGCTGCATCACATTGATTCAAGATTGCATTCTCCAAAGTCTTCAAATTTTCTTTTCTAGACAATAGAGAATGTATGCCTTGGAAGACCAAATTTTTATTATTGGGGCTACATACATTAAGGCACTAGTTTTAAGTTCACATTCACATCAGCTTACAATAGCAATAGTTGTAAATATCACAGGAAGAGTAGAGTCGAGACCAGAGGACAGGTGCTCTTTCAAGGAGGATAAACTTTCTTCTGGATCTGTCTGTAGATGATTTGGGCCACTTAGAGGAAGGTTAAGGGTGAGGAGATTCCCTGCAACAAGAAGCAGGGCCAGATACTGATTCTTCCCAAGTAGGGTTAACTCTGAGCAGGTGATTTGATTACCCTTTGATTACCCTTTCTACCCTGAGGGATTGCATGCACATATAAGGAAACTTCAAAAAACTCATGAAAACATGGAGTTAAAAGGCAAGTTTTGGCTCAAAAAATTTTGATTCCATGCACAGTTGTTTCATAGAACACATTTCCATGAACTTTTTGAATACCCCTCAATATACGTGGACTTCAGGGATTCTTTGTACCATAATAAACATCATCTAATTCCATCTTCCATGAACATTTTAACTCCCTTGCACATATTTTTACACATAATATCATTTTGGGGTGTATTACTATGCTTTATTTCATATTTCTATATAATCCTTCCAGTCACCCTATGAAGGGAGATATATATTTTTATTATTATTATTATAGATGAGGAGATTGAGGTATAGTACTGTTAATTGACTTTTTCAAGCTCAGATATCTTGTGACTAGTGGGATGAGTCTTTCTGACGTCAAACCTGAGTGGAAGAACCACCATTTTGAATTTCATAGGAGTTACTGGAAGTCTCTGAGTACATCAGAGGTTTTACTATAGGGTCAGAGGAAGAGTGATTTTTGCATTTCCTCAGCTTTCCCATTTCAGGAATAGAAAGAAAAATTTGCATTAACTTTTGAGACAACACATGGCTCTTCCAAGAGAGACTAGTTTGGGCAGGTTGCTCTGTGCTATGCCTCTCAAGTTCCTGGGAAAGGCACCATTTCCTGGTGTGTGGTCCCTGGCAAGGAGGCGGGGAGGAGCACTTCTTCCTCTGTTATTCCTCCTACCTAGGAGGAGCCAGTGCTCTTGTGTGTGTGTGTTTTTTTTAAGATTTATTTATTTATTTATTTGAAATGCAGAGTTAGAGAGAGAGAGAGGTCTACCATCCATTGGTTCACTCCCTAGAATTTCCACAATGGCTAGGGCTTTGCCAGGCTGAAGCTAGGAGCCTGACACTTCATGTGGATCTCCCATGTGGGTGCATAGGCCAAACACTTGGGCCATCTTCCACTGCTTTTCCAGGACCATTAGCAGGGAACCACTGGATCAGAAGCAGAGAAACTCAGACTGGAATCAGTGCCCATACGGTACGCCAGCATTGCAGGCACTGGCTTAACCTGCTGTTGCCACCATGCTGGCCCCAGTGCTCTTGGTTTTTGAGGCTGTGCCAGGTACTTTTCCTATCCCTGGTTCCTGTCAGAAGTGACAGGGACAGGTGAGGTGACCTTGGCACCAGAAAGACCTGTTTCTAGGTGATGTCCTGGGACCCTGGAGCCCGAGACAGAGGTGTGCACTCTAGCACCAGGCCCAGGTTCAGAGTAAAACCACCTGGGAGGGACAGGCGCCGTGGCGTGGCGGGTGAAGCCACTGCCTGCAGTGCCAACATCCCATATGGGCGCTGGTTCAAGTCCCGGCTGCTCCACTTCTAATCCAGCTCTCTGCTATTGTCTGGGAAAGCAGTGGAAAATGGCCCAAGTCCTTGGGCCCATGTACCCACATGGGAGATTCAGAAGAAGCTCCTGGCTCCGGATCAGTGCAGCTCTGGCCATTGTGGCCAGTTGGGGAGTGAGCCAGTGGATGGAGGACCTTTTCTTCTCTCCTTCTCTCTCCCTCTCTCTCCCTCTCTCCCCCTCTCTCTCCCTCTCTCTCCCTCTCTCCCCTCTCTTTCCCTCTCTCTCCCTCTCTCCCTCCCTCCCTCTCTCCCTCTCTCCCCCTCTCCTTCCTCCACCTCCTTCTTTCTTGGTGTAACTCTGACTTTCAAATAAATAAACAAATCGTTAAAAAAAAAAAAAAAGAATAAGTGGAGCTCGGACTTGAACCCAGGCATACCTTATGGGATGCAGACATCCCAAACAGCATCTTAAACTAAACACCATCTTGTCAACACTTTTAAATGTTTGTTTAATGACTTCGGTTAGTAATGCAGATTAAAAAAAAATTACCTGGGCCAGGTTTGATAGCCCCCACTTTCCACAAGACCATCTCCTG